AAAAAAAAAAAAAAAAAAAAAAAAATCTCTAGAGGAGGAGGAAGAGCAAGGAGTTTTTTTTTAATATATACTAATGCTAAAGCCCACCCTTTAGACCATTTAAATCAAAATATTTGGGCACAAAACTCAGATATCAGAGGATTTAAAAGCTCTCCAGTGATTCAGACTTGGATTTAATGTTGCCACTGCTCTGGGTATTTATCTCCATGGAAAAGCTGGGGAACCATTTATTCCATCTTGCTAGATTCCCTCTCAGGAGGAATGAGGTTGGAGGGGAGATATGGGTAGCTGGATCAGTGCATGGATGGCTGAGTGAATTAGTGGGTGAATGAGCAGGTTGGCAGGTAGAGGGTGGGCAGGTGGATGAAGGAGTGGATGGATAAGTAGATGGGCAGATGGATGAATTTATTGGTGGAATTCATGTACGATACTTCAGCATGGCCTCCTTCGATGCAGTTTTCAACAAATTTTGACTTTTTTTCTTTTACTTTTCCCAGTGACCTGAGCAACAACAGCATTGGTGTGCTGACCAATTACACCTTCAGCAATATGTCTCACCTCTCCACCCTGTGAGTACAGCGAGAGTCCGTATGCACTGTTCTCGTGGGCTCAGCAGTGAGTGGCATCCTTTCCCTCTGGTTCTCTGCTCTAGTACGGCTGCCCTCGGGGCTGTGGTTGCCCAGGTGAAGGGTAAGCCTTACCCAACAGAAGTAAAATAAAGCAGGTTGGAACTTCATTGTCTAGGCAGTCAGGGAAACTGGGAAAAACTGGAACTTCAGTACTTCTGAGGAAGACTCTCCGTAAAATAGCTTCTGTGCTGTGCAAATTTTCTTTCCCAGTGGAGGGTTTCCCTGCACAATTATATTTGCACAGATCTATTTATTTTCCATTAGATTTGCATGTTGTGAGCACACAGCATTTAATAGTAGGAAGAAGTTATGGAACGCTGGTGAGAGAGTCAGCCTGCTATGCAACCCAGAGTGGGAAACTGCAAAACTGAAGCTCATGAGCTTCCTGCAGTGGTAGAAGTTTCTCTTCCTTTTGTTGTTAGGATGCTTTTGCTAATATTTTAAAACTGGGAAAAAGAAGAAACTTTGCTTCAACCCATCCAGTGTAAATAGTGTGCACCAAGAGTAGTAGGAATAGGAACAGCCAACAGGCTCCTATCTCCCTTTCCACAGGATCCTGAGCTACAACCGGCTGAGATGCATCCCCGTCCACGCCTTCAATGGACTGCGGTCCCTGCGAGTGCTGTGAGTACCCTGGTGCTGAGCTGCCCAGGACTGGGTAACAGCAGGAGGAATGCTGAGCACTCCCCTTCCTCACTCTCTTTTGCTCCAGGCCCGCACCTCCCACCCGGCACTCTGATTTGCCCAGAGAGGTACAGAGGGTCACCCCACCCTGGGGTGCAGCCCAGTACTGACACTTGTGGCACCTTGGGCACCTCACGGAACTCCTTTGAGTCTTCGTCTCTTTCTGTGTTAAGTGGGATCAGCAGGACCTCCCTTGAGAAGACAGGGACATGTAATTACACGCTGCCCTCCAGGAGTGAGCACTGTGTGTGGCCCAGAGCCTCATCCTGATGGTCAGGCTTGTGCAGGTGTGGCCTCTGGCTTCACAGGATTCACAGGAGACTCAGCATGTTCCTCCTCTGCAAGGGAACAAAGCTCACGCACCAGCGGTCACAGGAGCCTGTTCCAGCTCACAGAGTTGGCTCAGAGTCGTAACTTGCCAATATTTAAGTAACTCGGGGTCCTCCCCTAAAAGTCCTAATTTCTACATTCCCTTAGAAAATTGGAAGCCCTGGCCATACCAGGACTTGCCTCTGTATCACTTCCTGGCTGAGCAGCCCTGCAGCTTTGGACAGGGCCGTACAGTCCGCCGCCTCCACACCCGTCCCCACTTGTCATCTTCCTGGCCTTGGCCCACAGTTGAGCCGAGGCAGCTTACTAGAGGCAGGCTTGCCCTGTACAAAGTCTAGAGGGCCATGGAGTCACCTGTTTTCCAAGCACAGCTGTGTTCCTTCCTCATTGTGTGTCCTTTCATCCATAAATCAGATAATTATGGTAATTGCCGCACGGAGTCTTGTAGGGGTTCTGTGAGTCGCTGGACTAGCTTAGGCCTGGCCACTGTGACGTGTAGTAAATACCCATTTGGTATTGCTGTTCACACTTCATAGCTCGCTAGGGCGGGAAGCCACCCCACTGAGGCCCGATTGTCACCTGATTTGGAGGCCTTTCGATCTTGCATTTATTTTATTTGTCAAAGAAGATACTGTGAATTGATCCTTTGAATATCAACCCTTGAATTATACTCTCCTGAGAACAGAGATGCGGGACATTCTGCCCTGCACCTGTCAGTATCTTGCCTTGCTGGCTCGTTATTGCTGTAACAGTAACCACCATATTGGATGAGGCCTTGTATGACTAGTTCCCCACATAACCTTTTGCCACCATGCTGTCAGTGTAAGCAGATGCCAACTTTAAAAATCTGGGAAACTGAGGCCTGCACTGGTGAAACAGATGGCCAAGATCTACTTGTCAGTCTCAATCCAGCCTCCTAATTTGGAGTCCCAGCCCCTTCGCAGGACCTGGTAGCAGCCAGCAAACAGCACCCAACAAGCTGGTCCACTCCAGAGACTCTAGGCTGATGTGATTGATCGAAGCCCACAAAACACCCATGTCAGCAACAACTCCTGCCACATGGCGTCCACACTGTTATTAAAATTCAATTCTCTGGGGGCGAAGAAGTACCAGCACTGACAGGGCGCAATACGTTATTGTCACTTATTTATTACCCACCTTCTCTGGGGAGGTGGAGAATGGAAACATTAGCAGAACTCTTTCCCCATTTCCAACTGAACATGATAGGAGTGCATCTCATTGGCCACGGTGAAAGCTGGACCAGGGCCCCCTCCCAGCTGTCCCTGTGCCCCCTCATCCCAGTCCGTTGTCTGCTATTCCTTCGAACGGTTCTGGGTGTGGGTTTACTCGTGGGCAGTGCTACCAGTTTTAAGCAGATCTGTGTGCATGTGCTCATAATTGAAGTAGCTCAGGTTGGGACGACTCAGTGTGTAAGGAAGAGAGGGAAACGGCATTGGGCTATCAATCTGCTGTCTACTGCGGTAGTAGGGTGAGCATCGACAGCCTGTCCAGGGTTCTCTGCCACCTTGTCTGTCCCTCCCTGGCAGCGGTACTACCATTAGTCATTCAAAGTTACACACAAACATTCAGTACCCTGGTGCCTGCTTCTTGACTGCAGAATTAGCCTTTAGCATCAGTATTTTAGAATCATGAGATCTCAGGGATTAAAAGAGAGCTCCAAGCCCCTCCATCCAACCATCTATCTCAGTGAGGAACCAACATTTACTGTGTAAGGGCCTAATCAGGAAAAATAAAAGTGTTTATAGGCTATGTTTTTATGATATCTATATCCTTTCTCCCAGTAATTGCACATATAGGAATTTACGTTAAAGAATAATTCAGAAGGAAGGAAAGGTTCTATGCACTATTATTTTGTTGCCCTATTATTTTTTTGTTTGGTACCAGGGATCAAACTCAGGACCTTGCACTTGCAAAGCAGCCAGCGGCACCACTGAGCTAAATCCCCAGCCCTGCACTGTTATTTTTAACCTAATTTTAAATATCATCTACAAGGGGCACAGTGGGGAAGCAATAATATGACCAGACAGTGAAGTGTAGTTATTAAAAGAGATAATGATGAAAACTAGATAGTAGTGTGGAGAAGGGTTTATCACACAGCATTGCCATGCTGATAAAGAACCATAACAATTATAACTCGTTAACATTTATGCCTATGAAGAAAGACTATCAGGGAACAAATGAAAAAATATTATCAATAACCAGCTGTTCCTATAGTCATTTGTGTAATAAGTGAAGGCAAAATGAAAGGTGAAAGCAGATGTAACATATTTGCAAGTTAGGGAGTTGAGGGAAGGATAGGGTTTTGAAATCAGGAGTTACATTATTTGTAGCTGCACTGGAACATTTGGATAACCTCTTATTAATGACGGTTTCATTGTTCTGATGAAAATTTCACAAATGATCAGATGCTTAGTGTTTGACACAACGAAGAAGATGAATATCAAAATTTAGACATAGACATGGGCCAAAAAAGTGATCAGAGGGTTGGGGATTTAGCTCAGTGGTGCCGCCGCCTGCCTTGCAAGCGCAAGGATCTGAGTTTGATCCCTGCTACTAAAAAATAAATAAATAAAGTGATCAGAGAGCAAAGGGCGACTTGGGGGGTTCACAGTATTATGAGTTTGGGGCGGTGAGCCGTGTGTATGTATGGTTTGTGTGTAGTGTGAGTGTGTGTAATGTGTTGATGGGTGAGTATAAATGCATTTCAGTGCACACAATAGGAGGGTGTACAAAACACTGTGTGAGAACCTTTTCCTACTTCACACCTCATCCAAAAATGGCCAGAAGAGACATTCTTGTGCACACTCTAGCTCTTGGGGGATCCGCGCGCGCCCAGATCTTTGCCCCACGTGGAGCCACATGCCTTGTGTGTGTGTGGTCTGCAGTGTCACGCCCCATGCCCGGCCACAGGAGGCCACCTGGAATCACTTAGCACCGCTGGGAAGGCTGCGTCAGCATGTGCTCGTGAGGCAGCCAGTGGAATTATCATTCACCAGCTTCGGGATTTTTAGCTCTAAGTCCCTGCAGGAAGATTGTGCTGTTTACACCCATGCAGCTTACAGACTGCATGAATCCTACCTACAACAAACATCCCTGTGAAGGGCTCTGTTTGCCCTCTGCTTGGTTACCTTCCAAACAAGGAGCTCACTCTCTTGCCATACAACTCAGGGGCACATTTGATCAGTTGTTACACATGAGAAAATTCTTTGGGTGAGCCCCAAGGTGATTCCTTGTGTGAACCTTGGTCTGGGCTTGGTCATTTCCTATGCCCAAACTAAAAACCAGTTAGAAGTCTAGCTATAAAACCTTATGTATGGAGATTTCTTCGAGACTTTGCTGGCCAGTGCTTTCATTTATAAGCCAAGGAGACCGCTTCAGAAAGTTTGGTAACCTGTTCAGGACTTCTCCCTTATCCCCATTCATTGCTGTGCTCAGTTCAGTGTGGGGGAAGTCAGTGAGTGAGCCATAGGTGGTAATCTGAGGGAGCCTTGGTCCAGAGAGCAAGTGGTCAGTAAGCCCCTGCAGTATAGGTGACACCTAAGAGAAGAAACCTAAGTAAGACACAGCATGAGGCCCGGAACGTAGCCCTGGCCACTGGAAAGGCTTTCTGAAAGAACAGACTGCAACTGTGCAGTGCACTGGGACCAAGTAATTCACTGCATAATCCCGCTGCTCTTCACCCTGTGGAGAATGACACTGTTATCTCCATTTCACAGAGGGGAAACTGAGGCTGGGTGAAACAAAGTAACTTGCCCAGAGTGACATAATCCATAGACAATAATGGCGCTCGGCTCCAAGACTGTTTGCTTTCAGAATCCATCCTCTTAACCTTGGCTTCCAAGGCTGAGACCAAGAACCTAGGGAGTAGGGATGAGTGTGAGGAACATTCTGGGAGGGAAGGGTACTAGTGTCTGAAAAGAGGCCCTGAAGTCTGTGTGCGTGAGTACACTGAGGGAGTCACAGGAGGCTGCAGGGGTGACGGGAATGTGGCTTCTGGGCCAGAGCAGGAAGATGTGTGGGATCTCTCCACAGTGGGGGCTGAGCCGAGGCTGGAGCCCACATCTCCCAGCTCCCAGCCTAGTGCTCTTTCCCCACCTCCACCTCCTTCCCCATCACAGACAACTGTCTGTCTGCATGAGCCTTTCAGACTTTTCCTGAGAACTGGAGGGGCACGGCCTATTAGGAATGTGTTTCTTCATGGCCCAGAGAAGCATCTGATGTGTGGAAGGGAGGACTGCAGAGACAGGTGATGGGCCCAGGGCCACTGCCACATTCAGTGTGTGTCCTCTCCAGCCCCAGGGTCAAGCCATAGGACCTTCTACCACCTTGGAAATGGGCAAAATGCATGATTTCAAGTTTCTTCTCTATCTGGGGAACTCTTTGACAGGACTGGCCTTCAAATACTTCCAAGAACATTTCAGGGCCCAGGACTGCCGTGATTGGGTGCTTCTCCTGTGCAGACCCTGCCTTGGGTCTTGTATCAGGCCCTGCATCATCTGCATACCCTCTTTGAGTCTTAACAGCTGGTTTGTGAAGTAGTGTGTCAGGTCCCTTCCTCATTAAAGGGGAAACATTTGTTCAAACGCCCTCAAGCCTTATAAAAACCTATCAGAAATGTGGTGCTCTCTGCTTCTGAGCCCTCTTTCCTGAGTAGGTTTCGCTCTTGGGCACTCTTTCACAACTCGAGGCACAGAGCAGCCACTTAGCAGGCTCAAGAAGGCAACGGTCTGACTTCGTAGGTCCAGAAAAAGCCCAGGAGTGTAGGAAAGTTCCAACTGTCCCCCTGTGAGAGTTCCTGTCTAAGTCTAATGAACAGACAGATTGACAGGAGAAAAAGTGTACGAACACACACAGGCCCATGGGAGCCGTACAAAATATGAAAAAAAAAAATGCAAAGCAGGACCAGATGAGTGAGGCTTAAGTAACTTCTTTTTGGAAAAGAATAGAGCTGGGGCTTTTAGAGGGGCAGGGAATGATGTTTAAGGGAGAGAATGAGCCCAGGAAATAATAACCAGGAACGAGGTTCCTCTAGACTCTTGGCATGGGTTTTGATTTTCAGTCTCCTCTGTGATGCGAGTTTACTCCTGCTGGGGTAATGAAATGTTAGTAAGAAGATTGAAGATGCTTGTATTTCTTTATGGTTGATCTGGTCTTTAATTTGATAAGGGGACTTGGGAAAGTTCCTTCCTGTGCTTCAGGAGAGAACGGATCAAGAGAAAGGGGGAAAGGCAGTGGCAGGGATATAGGGTACGGTCAGAGAGACCTTGAAGCTGCTCCTGTAGTCCAGCATGTCACAGAAACATACACTGGGATGTCATTTTCTGAGCCTCACAGCCCACTGAGGTGACATGTTCAACCTCAGACCATACACTGTGACTCCAGTTGGCCAGACTGGAACCATGACTCCATCAAGGAGACCACACTCCTAGAACTGAGAAGTGGATGTGGTGATTCCCTGTGGACAAGAGAGGGCCTGCTACAGAGATGGTGTTGACATTAACCAACCTTCACACCCTGCCCCAAACTATGTCTACTGCTTCAAACAGAATGTAGGAATAGGAATTCCTTCATTTTAGAGTTGAAAAAACTGAGGCACAGAAAAACGATTAGTTCTCTTGATTTACAAAGCCAGAGTATCAGAGGAAGGATTCCAACCCAGGCAGTCTGACTCCGGAGCCTTCATTCTTAACCTGTGGTGACCTGTGAGTGGCCTCACCTGATCAAAAGCAAATTCTCAGTGGTTCCACACCTGCCTTGGTGCAAGGTCCTGAGTTTGATCCCTGGTACAAAAAAAAAATAATAATAATTCACCTACCCCAACGCACATTTAGGCCTACAGTAGTTCCCAACATCGTTGTACAAACTGTAACCACCTAGTGATTCAAAGACTCAAGGTTTAAGGAGCACAGAACTGAAAAGGGTGGTTAAGTTGGGTAAGTCTAGTCTTGTTCTAATGGTGCCATCATCTGTTTTTGAAATTTTCAAGTGTCTCTTGAACATCTCCTAATAGTCAGAAAGTGGGAGGGAACCTCGGGCCTTGCAGATGAGCCCCTGGGAATTCTGAGAGTTGCTAGTCAGGCTCAGTTCCTGTAAAATGTGAAGGAAGAAGGGCAGGAGAAAGGGAAGAGAATACTGAACTGTTTCTTGGGAAAGCACATTCATCCTGTTCTCTGCTATCACTTAGGATAGTGGTTTGACATGGAGGAGTCCTCCTTTGGAGGCCAACCAGCAGGAGAACTTGCAGAATGGGCAGATTTCCCTAGAGTTGTCCTGATAAATCATGGCCCCGTTGCTCTACAGTTAATAAAGTGCTCAACAGCCCAGCTCACAGTGAATGGAAACATGACTTACAGGTGTCACAGCGCCAAAGCTGCCTTTGGGTCCTTTGGTGTTTCCAAATTAGACCTTCATGCATCTCTGGCCGCTCAAGACTTATTCACAAATTATTCACATCAGGGCTGGGTCCATTTGCAAAAGAGCAAGCAGCCACCAAACCATCTAAAGCAATAGCAGGCAGGGGCCCTCATGATTCATAAATAACCACATGAATTAGAGACTAAATGGTGTTGATAAGCATGTAAGGAAGTGCTTCTAGCTCTCCTTACCCAGGGAGGTAAGAAGCCACTATGAACACTCTTTGGAAAGCTATTAACCATCTTCCAGCTGTCCTGGCTGCCTAAGAATGGAAGAAAATGTCTTTCACCTTGAAAATATCACCTATGAACTACGAGGAGACCAGGAGGAGCTGATGGTGATGAGGATGACAATGGATGATAACTATGAGAAAGAAGGAGAGAGGAGAGGTTTGGAGATAGCTTAGTGTTAAGTACATGCTTAGCTTGTGCAAGGCCCTAGATTCCATCTGTAGCCTGATAGGTGATGGATGGATGGACAGGCAGATGGGCAGATAGATAGACAGACAGACAGATAGACTGACTGACCAACAGATGGACAAGAGATGCTGTGGGGGGATGAGGACCTTGCCATAAAGCAATAGGAGAAAACTCAAAATCCTTAGCCCTTGAAGTGTGGTCCCCAGACGAGCAGCATCCACACACCTAGAAACTTGGCAAAAACACAGAATCTCAGATCCCACCCATGCCCACAGAATCAGTATCACTGGCAGCGGGGCTTTATAATCCACGTTTCTAGAACCACTGCTCTCTCAGTGTGAGAGCCCCCCCCCATTCTTTATTAAGTGTAATTAAGTTCCCATCTCTGTTTCAGCCAAAGACCCAGGGCAGGCTAAGTTCAGTTGAAAGGAAAACAAAAGAGCAAGTTCATTAGTTATCATCCTGTTTATACTCTCACTGTCAATGCTAATTGCCTCTTTGTTTTACTAGGGCTCCCTGCCTGGACTAAAGTTATTAGTCCTTACCCTTAAGGGGGCTTTATCACCAGCACAGTTGACAGTGCTCATCAGTCACTAGAGAATCCTGTGAGTTTCTGCCACTTTCACCAACGTTACTTTTTCACACAACAGACTCAAAGTGAGTCGTCAGTGTGGGGATTTTGTACATAGTTGATGATTACTCCTTTATGGAGGATATAATCCCTGAATTGTAGATGAGTTCTCTTTGCTTAAGCACAGAGCAGTGTTTACTCTCCCTTTTTCACAGAATCCTCTAGGCATTATCAAAGGCTCACTATATGAGGCTACTTGGCAAGTGAGAATAGCTTTTAGCTGCTTATACCTAAGGGTAGAAAGAGGCATGACTGATACTAAGACAGTTGCTTGATGCCTTGGTCTGGCTATCAGAAGACACGGCCAGACTCATATCTGTTCATGGTCAATAGCAAGACTTTTCCCATAAGACAAGTGTCTGGATGCAGAGAATAACCCAGGACGTAATTACCACATCCACCACCTGAGCTAGGATTGATAACATGTCTCAATCTACCTAAAACCTCTTAAGGGGAGTTTGAAGGGAACCAATTCATTGAACTCCTTTGTGCTAGGTTTTCTTCAAGATCCTTTCACCAATGTTAATAATGGTTCATCATTGAACACGCAGACAAATGTCAGCCTCTGTCTACACAGGTCAATACATCCAACATAGTCTTCTGTGGTACATCTTGCCATGTTCATTCTAGGAAATGGAGGCTTAGAGAAGGTAAAGCATAGCTGAATGCAAGCCACATGGCTCCCAAACTTACAGTCGTAACCATGGTACAAGAACTTTATATCCCTGAAACTTCAGCTGCTCCTATAGGCAGATCTGCCTCTCCATTTTTCAGACACAAAAATGAAGACCTAAAATAATTATCCACTATTCCACAACTATAACAGACTGGCTTCTGATTCCATCCCATGTCTGTCTGCAGCCTCTTCCCCAAATTCTTTACCCTCTGTTTTCTCCTGAGCTGAGCTAAGGAATACCCACTTCCGTGTAGCAAAGGGGGCAGCTGCTGCTCCCAGAGAACTGCTAGAGGCCAGCTGGGCTGGCCAGGCTGGGAGACCAAGACAGTGTGCTGGGTTTAGACTGAGACTGGGTACAACCTTCTGACCTGTGCCTTCTGCCTTAGAACTCTTCACGGCAATGACATTTCCAGTGTTCCTGAAGGCTCCTTCAATGATCTGACATCTCTTTCCCACCTGTAAGTAGCCATAATTCTCCCCAATGTGCATTTACTCAAAAGAAAAAAGTGTGACAGTGCCAGCAACAACTTGCTATGTTCTTTCCATGTGTATACATGGTCATTCCTGCAAATCTGCATAGACTGGTCTGGGAGACCCCATGCTACCAAAATCCAGGGATACTCATATCCCTTATAGTAAGTGACATAGTATTTACATGTAGCCTATTCACATCCTCCTGTATACTTTTAAGTCATCTCTAGATTACTTATAATACCTGCTACAATGTAAATGCTGCACAAATAGTTGCTGCATTGGTTAGAGAATAATGACAAGAAAATGCACGATTCATGTCCAGTAAAGATGCAGTTTTGGTTTTGGGGGGGTGGTTTTGTTGTTGTTGGTGGTGGTGGTTTGTTTTGTTTTGTTTTGCTACCAGGGATCGAACTCAGGTCCTTGTGCTTGTGAGGCAGGCACTGGAACCACTGAGCTAAATCCCAAGCCCCAAGATGCAGTTTATTATTTCAAATCCATTTTTGGTTGAACTGCAAATATGGAACCTAAGGTTTCAAATGACCAACTGTAGTTTATTTTACAACAGAGTAAAATATAATAGGCACATTTGTCCTGTTCTCTGTGTCAGCCGCCTTTAAAGGAATCAACAATTCTTTAAACTGCAAATAAATATTTAATAAGAACCACCAGAAAACACTATGTGCTAACCATGTAGATGAGTTATCGAATTTATTTCTTACAGTAGTAAGGCATTTTATCACTTTATACTTGATGAAAATAAACCTTAAAAAGTTAAAGAATTTGCCCAAGAGTTTGTCAATCACAGCCACAGGGCAACTCAAGGTCTCCCCTGATTGTACAACACATGTTCTCAACCATTCTGCATTCTGGAACAAGCCCGCCCTTCTTATCTTACACAAGGAAACCAAGGCCCATGAATATTAGTTGATGAGCTAAAAATAACCTATGAAGCTAATGAGATTTGAACTCGAACTCAAGTTCCATTACTCCCAGAATATCCTTCTCTTCTCTCAATCAGGAATTTCCAGGTTTGTTGTTGTCTGAATTTTGATTACAGTCTTCTGTTGAGAAAATTTTTTTGAGTTTCTCTTCCTTCTATATTTAATTATTTTCGATATTTATGTTAGAATATTGACATGTACGCATATATTATAAAACATTCAAAAGTAGCAATGCTAATAGGGTTTAAGTTTTAGTATTTCGTCCTGGATATCACTTTGGAGATATCAGCAATGAACTGTGCACTCCTCTCCTGCATCTCCCTGCTGAGTGGTCTGAAGTTGCTTTATAAATTCCTAGTCTCAGAAACGTCTTTGCAGAATACATCCTCCATTGGACCCTTCAGTTAGACACAGCAGCCAGATAATGAGGTGCCCGTAGGTCCAGAAAGTTTATTGAAGAAACCAGGATTGGATTAAGAGAGGATACAATTTTATGAGGGTAGTAAGAGCAAAACCTCAGAAGTGAAAGAGACTTGGATGGGTGATAGAACATCTACCAGATTGGAAATACACTCTGGAGATGTTGACTTGGCTCCGCTGGAGACTACTTCTCTGCCAATCTCCGTGTCAGACACGCAACCTAGCCAAAGCTGAAAATTTCTGCTTTCCCAGGGAGCCAGGAAGATGGAGCCCATGGGCCAGGTTGGGAAGTGGATCCTAACTTCTTGTTCTGCCTCATAGGGCACTGGGAACCAACCCTCTCCATTGTGACTGCAGTCTGCGTTGGCTGTCGGAGTGGGTGAAGGCAGGATACAAGGAGCCGGGCATTGCCCGCTGCAGTAGCCCTGAGTCCATGGCAGACAGACTCCTGCTCACCACCCCTACCCACCGGTTCCAGTGCAAAGGTAGGTGCTACCTGCCCACCCCTTACCCTGCCCTTGTGTCTGCTCTGGCTCCAACAGCCTGTCCGAACTGGGCATCTCAGGGAGACTAGCTGAAATCAGTATGGAAACATATAAGAACTCTTATCGTTCTGTCCCCATTGCTCCCTGCTGCCTTGTTTGTTTGTTTGTTTGATTTGTTGGTTGGTTTTTGTGCTGGAGCCTGAACCTAGGACCTGCAGCATGGTCAGCATGTACACCACTGAGCAGCACACCCAGATTGGGCTGCCAGTTTTACCCAGTCACCCCTCAGTATCCATGGGGAATTGCCTCTAGGATCCCGCACACTATCAAACTGTGAGGATACTCAGTCAAATCGTTTATATACAGTGGTGTTGTATTTGCATATAACTCATGCAGATCTGGCTATGTATGTTAAATCATCTGTAGGCTGTTTATAATACCTAATGTAAATGCTATATAAAAAGTTGTATTGTTTAGGAATACTGATCACACCCTAAATCAGTCTGTACATGTTTAATGTAGGTGAAATTGTTTTTCTAAGTATTTCCCACCTGTGATTGGTTGAATCTATGCATGCAGGATGCCGAGGTTTGTCTATACTTCCTCACTTTCTGTACATATTTTTCCATAATTGGGAATGTCTTTAATATGCATTTTTACCCATCATTATTAGGCTTTCCCATTTTACTGCAGCAAACTTTTTGTACATGAGATCTGTATTGGCTGCAACATTATTATGATAACAAACTACTGAGGTTCTTATTATGTGGTAGTGTCTTATTTATTTTCCTCATTGCTGAGACAACACCAGAAGTTAAAAGGAAAAGTTTATTTTGGCTCCCAGTTTGCAGAGGTTTCAGCCCATAGTTAGCTGGCTGCAAGGCAGGGTGACATGGCAGATGGTCATTGCAGAGAAGAAAGTTTATGGTGTGGTAGGGCAGGCAGAAGGCAGCAAACAAAATATCACAGGAGCAGCAGCAAGCCTGCCCCTTCCCTTTTATCCTGTCCAGGCTACCAGCCTCTTGGGCAGTACCACCCACACCCAGGGTGGGGCACCCTTAATCCCTGCATCACACATCTTAGACTCAGCCACCTCCAAAAAGCCCCACATATGACCACATGAGGCTTGCGGGGGCACCTAGACAAAAGTCATAACATGTAGGCACTGTATTAATACATGTTGGTAATACAGGATAGTCATATTTGTTTTAGAGAATTAGTACCTGTGAATAACAAATCTTGATCATTTTCAATCCCCCCCACTCTCCCTCCCTCTCTGATATCTTCTCCCCTTGATTTCCAAGAGTCCACCTTCTGGTTTCGTATCATCCCTATTTATTTATATTTTAGATTTCTCATATAAGAGAAAATATGTAATATTTAACTCTGAGTCTGGCCTGTTTTGATAACATGATGGTTTTGAGTTCCATCTACTTTGTAGCAAATGGCATAACTTTATTGTTTATGGCCGAATAATTTTCTGTTGTATTTATTTGCCACATTTTCCTTACCCATTCGTCTGTCGATGGGCATCGAGTCTCTTTCCACGGTCTTGATTTTGTGAATTGTGCTCCTATAAACGTTGTTCTGAATGTATCACTGTAATATGCCACCTCTACTTCTCTCTGGAATGTTTCCAGCAGTGGCAATGCTGGATCAAATGCTATTTCTAATTTTGGGTTTTTGAGGAATCTCCACACTGATTTCCATGGTAGCTGTACTAGCGTGCATTCCCACCAGCATTGTAGGAGTTCCACCCCCTCCCCTCCTCCCATCCTTCTACCCCTCACATCCTCGCCAACGTCCATTGCTTTTTGTATTCTTGATGAGAGACGGGCCGATCTGGCTGAAGTGAGATCTCAATGTAGTCTTTAATTTGCATTCCCTAGTGGCTAACGATATTGAACGTTTCTTCATATACAGTACTTACTGGCCATTTATACTTCTTCTTTGGAAAAAAAAAAGGGCCACTCAGTTAATTTGCCAATTTTTTGATTCAGTTATTTGTTTTCTGAGGATTTTTTTAATAGCCTAGATGTCAGTCCTTTATCAGAGGGTAACTAGCAAAGAATTTTTCCTATTTTGTGTGTTGTCTCTTTGCTCTGTTGTTTCCCTTGCTGTGCAGAAGCTTTTTAATTTGATGTGATCCATTTGTTGATTCTTAATAATATTTCCTATACTATTGGAGTTCTTTTCTGTTCATGAAGCCTTTACCTGTGCCCATAGCTTTAAGTGTTTCCCCTATGTTATCTTCCATCAGCTCCAAAATTTCTGGTTTCATATCTAAGTCTTTCATCCATTGTGATTTGATTTTAGTACAGGGTTAGTGATAAGGATCTAGTTTCGGTCTTCTCCATAAGGATATCCAGTTTTCCTGGCACCATTTGTTGAAGATGCTGTCTTTTCTCCAGAATGTTTTCTTAAAAATCAGATAGCTGCAGGTGCATGGGTTTATTTCCGTATCTTCCATCATATTCCACTGGTCTACATATCTGCTTTTCTGCCAGTACCATGTTGTTTTTGTTACCATGGCTTTGCTGCATAGCTTGAAATCTGCCGTGGTGATGCCCTCAGCATTGCTCTTTTCGCTCAGGATTGGTTATTCTAGATCTTTTCTTTTTTTAATTTTTAATGTAATCTGAGTAGATATTAATAAAATATAAAAACAGTTCTATGGAAAATAATTTTTCATAACAAAATAGAGTAATGATAGTAAATACACTATCATGATTTTAAAAGAATATATTTTCAGTTGCTACTCCATCTCTCAACTGCTTTCCTACTATGCTTTTTGCATAAAACCTTTTAATTATTAACAAAGTATCTCACACTCAGTATAATTTTAAACAGTTTCTTCCTATTTCACTGTCTGTTACATATTTTGATCTTTATTTTTACTTTCAGTTTCTCACACCAGAGAGACAATGTGATATTTACACATGTGTGTTTGATTTCATTAAGGGTATGGCCTCTAGGAACATCCATTTACATTCTAGGTCTTTTCTGATTCCATATGCACTTTAGGATTATTTTTTTCTAGTTCAGTGAGGAATTTTGTTGGTATTTTAATAGAAATTGCATTTGACTTTTGTAAACTGGCCATTTTAACAGTTTTAATTCTGCCAATCCATAAACAAGGGAGACCTTTCCAGTTTTCAAATCTCTTCTTTCATTTTTTTCAGTGTTCTGTAACTTTCATCATGGAACTGTTAAGCAGTTTTTAATGTATTATTTAACTCTAATTTTTCATGTGTTATTTGATTCTTTAATACTTCCAAGGTTCAGATACTAATATTACCCTTATTTTTTAAAATGAGAAAATTACAGCTTAGGGATGTGAAATGACTTCTTGAGATCGCCTAGTGGAAGGATCCCGGGGCTTTCTGATTCCAGCGTGCTCGACCTTGGCTGCCAAGCTGTAACATCCTTTACAACCCACTTCACTGGTTCCTGCTTTTATATCTTTAGATTATTTCCATTTTTTTCTTACCATAGATTCTTAAAGCGTCTTTCTCTATTTGACATGATGCCCACAGGGAAGACTTCAAGAAAAAAATCACTGGGTCAAAATGTATGATCTTTACATGTATTGCAAATTGATTTCCAAAAAGAGCTATAACCAATTTATGCCCCCCAAAGCCCCCTTGGAGTACCTTGAGATGCTCTCATTATTTTACCTTATTTTGTAGTCATAACTAAAACAGTAGATTATAAAATTGTATCTCCTTTTGATTTGATTATTGGTGATCCTGAATTTTATGTAAAAAATCACTTCCATTTGCATTACCCATTTATCTATTAATACCTTTTATTCCTCTATTAAAATCATATTTTTATTTAAGATATTACGGTACTTGCCCTCTAAAACTTCACTGTACCCCGCACTTCTGCCTAAAGCACAAAACATTCCACTGAGGTGAAGCTAATTTTAATTTTCCACCTCCTGTTTCTGAAACACCTGATCTGATACTACAGAGACCCAAATAGCCCTACAGTAATGGTTCTCAATCTTGGCTGCACTTGTTGGAATCATCTGAGGAGCTTTAAAAATTACTGGTGCCTGGGTCCTGTTCTCTAGGTGTTGACTAAGGGTCTGGGGTACAGCTTGTATATGACCAGAACCATGGCTGGTTCTGGTGTGAGGTGACCAATTTGGCCCAGCCTGTCAGGAACATCCCCAGTTTTAGCACTGAAATCTCTGTATCCTAGGAATCTGTCCCAGGTACACGAGAACAGAAGGTCTCCCTCCTGTTCTCATGTGCAGACAGGTTTAACCTGATGGGGCCAGCTTTCAGTCAGGACCTTCTCCTCAGCCTCCACAGTGACCGTTCACCAGAGCTAATCCCAAATATCTCCAGGTTGAAGACTGTTAGCTCCAAAATCATTTAACATGTTCTTTATGGTGCTATAATTCAGACGTCTTCCTGCCAGGTGGCTCTGAACCACCCAAGATATATGCATGACTGTTCCATTGGGTGACGTGCAACAGTCACATCAGGTTCAAGCCAGTGGGAACATGTTAAAGTTCTAACAATGAGTGGGGCCTATAAATACAGGGCTTAGGATCAAAGGTGGCTATAGCAGCAGGACACAGTCTCTTTGCAAAGCTCTATATGGAGATGATGAATGCTTTTCAGCCCTTACAGATGAAAAAAGCAAGAGATGGTTGAGACTATCATGGATACAAAGTGTCCTTGAGCACACTGTCAGCACAGCTGCTGTGTCCTCTGGGGCCATCCATTTCCTGCCTCTGTGTGTACAGGACTTCTAGGCATCCCTCCTCAGCCTGGCATAGACTGTTCCATGGGAAAGGGTTTGAGGGGGCTAAATAGTAAGAGGTTCAAATAGAGCGTGGGTGGGGAGCTTCCTGGAATATGAAAAGATACACAAGGGGTTTTTAATTATGGCACAGTGTTTGCAGATTAGCACCCAAATCAGATCAGGCTAATTATAGTCATTGATTTGACTGCAGAAGTGCTTCTGTATGATGCCCCACTGTGATTTTTTACTCACTGGACAATGGTTGAATTAATGGGACTCTAGCCAGATTGGATGTGCCAGCAGAAGAGAGCCAGCTGCCCTCCGGGCTTGACTATGAGGAGGGGATGGGGTAGGGGGGCAGTGACAGTCTGCTCGGAAGCTCAGAAATCTGCCATCAGCACTCTGGTTTTGCTGCCAGGTCCTGTGGACATCAGCATTGTGGCCAAGTGTAATGCTTGCCTCTCCAGTCCATGCAAGAACAACGGGACGTGCACTCCAGACCCCGTGGAGCAATACCGCTGCACCTGCCCCTATAGCTACAAGGTAAAGTGCCTCCTCTTGGGTCTCTCCTGTCCTGGTGCCCACCCGGCTGACTCTATCCAGGGCAGTCTGAGTAACTCTACTTACCTCCCTCCCTGAAAGTGCTGAGGATAAAGGGATGGGGGATTCAGAAGCCTGGGGGTTGCCTGGCTCACCCACATGTTGACTGACTCAGTCAGCAAAACAATTATGACCCTAACTGTCCTCCCCAGAAGTCCAGGCTAACTCCAAGACACTCCTTCCCTCCTAATGCCATCCAGAACATATTATCCTGCCTCCCTGCCAACATCTGTAGAGTATGGATATGTACTTAGCATTCTACTCACCTTTTTAAACACTCCCAGTGAACCTAGGAAGTTAGTTTCATGAATTCCTATTCTACCTGTGAGGACACTGGGCTTCAGACAATCGACAGGGTTTGGCTCCGTGTAAACAATAGGTCTGGGATTAGGACCCAGGGCCAAATCACTAGCTAAATCTTCTCCCCTGCAGAGTTCCCTAGATAGCTGAGTCCCTCGCTGTACCTCACTGGGTTCAGCAGGGCTGTGGCTTGGTCCTCTTCTGCAGGACCCTCCAAGGTTCTAGCTATCCGCGGCACCTTCCCAATGGACTGAGCAAGCCAAGAGTTTTGAGATAGCCTGGCAGCACTTCCAGTGCACGCACCAGGCACAGGCTGAATGACAGGGGCTGGCGTTGCCACATCTCCATACCCAGAGGGAGTGTGCATGTATAGTGACACGCTTGAGAGGCACATTTCACCTTGGGAACAGGAGTACCTAGTGGCTTTCTCAACTGTGGCCACGCAGCCAGTGGATGGTGTGAGACTGCCACCTATTGGCCTGGGATGAGAGATCCCTGGGGTTGTCTGAAGCCAGCCATCCCCAACACCTCAAACTCACTAGAGTCCCAGATCTCTGTATCCTGCATTCTCACACAGACAGTTATTGGTGGGGGAGAAGAGAAACTAAGAGCAGACCTGCTCAGGAGGCATGGTCCTCTGAAACTGCCTCGTATGGCTTCAGTGGAGAAAACTCAGGGTATGGAATTGCAGAGAGGCACACATGGATTCTAGCTTTGTCATTTACTAGCTGTGTGGCTGTGCCCAGCAGCTCCACCTCAGCCTTCCCATCTGCACACAAGGTTTGCTGTGAGAATCACGTGTACAATAATGAATGTAGCACATTTAGGACAGGACCTGGCAGTCGGTAAGCACTTGGCCAGCTGGAATACTGCTACCTTTACCTTCACCCTTGCCTGCCGGCCCCTCATGCCAGGGTTTAAGGTGAGCCATCGGTAACAGGTGGCATGCTAGTGCTTTCATCGGGGATTATCAGTCTGTGACACTGTGGACTGTCGGTGACCTTCAGTCATCCTCTTAGAGCTGTGACACACGCATATATAATATTCCCAATTCTGAAGCACATCTCTAGTTTTTTGTTATTGTTGTTCTCCCTCCCTCACTCCTCCTTTCTTTGCTACTCTTTTCTTTCTTTCTTTCTTTCTTTGTGATACCAGGCATTGGACCCAGGCACCCATGCATGTTCAAGCAGGTACTCTACCACTGAGCTATGCCTCTTAGCCCAAGATAGTTCTCTTTTTAATCACCAACCAGACCATACACATGTATTATTCCCTTCTGAGAAAAGGGATGGATCGTATCACTCCTGTTTAACAGAAAAGTTAAACTGTTTGCATTCTCAGCTTGCCTCCTTCTCTGTAAAACTGAGTCTGAGTCTGAAAGTCTGGGCTTCCTCCAGCTACACTTGACCACACCGTGAAACACAGCCTGACCATTAGTTTCAGAGCAAAAAGTGTCTCTGTGGGGCTACTCCAAGGCAATGCCACTTGTCTTAACTTTGTTCATAAGATTCTGAACATCTTGCCAGGGATTTAGCTCAGTGGCACCGCACCTGCCTCACATGCCTCACAAGGTCCTGAGTTCAATTCCCATAACAACAACAACAAAAGATTCTGAACATCTTGCAGATTTTAGAAGAATATGAACAGAGATTGTGACCTTCAAAAACCTCTGCGCTCAAGGGGTCTTGGGTACATGATTCTGATGATACTGCCATTCCCAGAGTGCCCGCTGTGCCTGACAGTGTATGGAACGAGGTAGATGTGCTGTCTCGTATGCTCGGCATCACAGCCCTAGGACTGTGATGTCGAACCTTTTAGAGCTTTCAATGATACAAACAGCCTACTGTGGCCTGCGTGCCATAGATTCACCATCACCGCCCTAGGATACAGTTCCTGAAATAACCCTGCCTTTACAGTCAAAAAAGGTGAGCATAGATGATAAAGGGGTTCGGATTCAAAGCAAGGAGCCAAATGATTCCAGAATGCAGCTTCTTGGCCACTTCCTTCACTGCCCACTGACAGGTACACTATTTGCAGGGACTAAAGGGAAGCCACTGGCCACTTAGAGCCTTTCTGAATCTCCAGGGTAGAGGATCAGAGTGGTGGAAAGACCACACAGGACCCACCAGAGCCTGTTTCTGCCTGGCCATGTGACCTTGGACGGCTCCTGCTCTTCTCCCCTGTTTTCTCAATTGTAAAATGGAACAAGTTGAACCAAAGGGATTGTCCAAATGCGCATTACACCCTGTGCTGAGTTCGTTCCTCTGCTTCCCTTATCACTGGGGTCACAGCCCGCCCAAGGGCAACCACTGAGATAGTAGATCTGGATAAAGTGCTAAGCTGACAATAATCCCTCTTCACCCACAGATTCGAGCACAAAACTGAGGCACTTACCTCTGTATGTCCAGATACCTCATTCATCTGATTAGCTCCAAGACTTTGGGAAGCCACGATGTTATAAAACAGCACAGCAATTTAAGTGCATTGTCTCACACAGTACTATTCATACTCATTCTATGAAATAAGTTTTATTACCCTCTTTCGATAGGTGAAGAAATAAAGTTCATAAAGTTCAAAGAACTTATGCAAAATCCCACATCTAGGAATGCAGATGAGCAAAAACCAGAACCAGTTATCTCTTACAAGAAATCTGTACCCTTGATCATTCCATTAGTCACTGATCCCGTCTTGGCCTTTTTCCTACCTGCAAATGTGAATAGTCATACTCATCTGCAGAGCTGTAATAAGGATGAAAGGGGTCGTGCATGGACTTTGCCTCCTTCCCGTGATGCCAGGATTTGGTAGACATTTTACAAAGGATAACTATCCTCCTGCTATTCTAAGATTTGGGGAAATAAATTCGGTTGGCTGGTTCTTTTTCAGCTATTTATCATCATTCACGTATGTTCACTGTCTCAGAGCAGTGCTTCTCCAACTGTAATGTGCCAAAGAATCACCTGGAAATCTCATTAAAATGCAAGCTCTGATTCGTGAGACCTGAGGTCAGACCTGAGATTTCCATTTTTAACAGGCTCCCACAGGATATCAGTGCTGCTAGTTCAAGGACTACATTTTGAGTAGCAGGGTCTTAGATCAGCCTTCCCAGCCCCATCTCAGAAAGACATTCCCGTAGGTATAGCTGTTGCCAATCCCTTTCAAAGGAAGCCAGTTGCCCTAGTCACCTGCCATCTCCATGCCCCCCAGTACATACACACACAGCAGGGTGGGGAATACAAAGAGAAGGGGGACCAACGAGCATCACAAATCTTGTGGTTTTGAGCAAAATGTAGCTGAAGAGAATTGAACTGGGCTCATTAGCCAGGCACTGGCAATGGTGATTATTTCTCAAGAACTTGTGACAGAAATTCCCTCGTCCAGCCCCAGTTACAAAGTCATCATGCACTAGGATCTGCCTCCTGGATATCTATGCTCCTGCATAAAATTTAACTGAGACACAACTGCCTCCACTTCTACCCTGGGAGGATTCAACCCAGAGTCACTGCATATTTGCAAGTTACCCAGAGTAGAAAGGCTGGCCCAGACCGGAACTAGGGAGACCCTGGAACTGCAATTTATAGCACCAACCAGAGACCTAGAAAAAAAGCTAAGCATGGTGGTGCATTGCTGTAACCCTAGCACTCAGGAGGCAGGAGGATCACCGTGAGCTCAAGGCTAGCCTGGGCTACAGAATGAGACACTGTTAAAAAAACAAACACTAAAACTTTAAAAAAAATATTTTAATCACCCACATTCTACCCTGCTCCAGACCCTCGTCATTGTCATCACCACTGTCATTTACAGAGTTGCCATCACATACTGGGTATCTTAGAGGTATGCGATTTTGTTTCATCATTAGTTAACTCCCATGGGGAAGGTAGGAGTTGAATACTCCTTATCTGAAATGCATGGGACCAGAAGCATTTCAGATTTCAGATTTTTCAGATCTGGAATATTTGCATAAATGTAATGAGATATCTTGTGTACGGGACTCAATCCTAAACAAAAAATTCATTTATGTTTCATATAGAGCTTTTACGCATACCTTGTAATTGTGTACAACATTTTTGCCATACCTGCATTTTGATTGCAAGCCATCATGTGAAGGCAGGTGTGAAGTCAGTACCTAAAAGATTTCAGATTTTAGACTTTTAGATTAGAGACACTCAACCTATGTTATGAGCCCCATTTCATAGGGGATTCAAACAAGGCTCAGAGGAAATAGTCTTTTCTTCAAGGCACACAGCAGCCAACCTAGACTTGGCACTCTGAATGGCCAAACTGCATAACCAAGGCTTTAAGGTCAGAGTAAGTGACCCAGCAATGACTTTGGACCCAGATGTCTGGGTTCAGCTGCTGCGGGCCTGTTGCACGTACCATTGTGCAGTCTTAGACCAGTGACCTCACTTTTCAAGTCTGCCTTCCCTCTCTGTAAAAATGAGTGTAATAACAATTGTAGCAGTCTCATAGGGTTCTTGTGAACATTATATGCAATCATGAATGTAAGACGCTTAGCATGAGGCCAGTGTTGGAAAATGTGCTCAATAACATGAATGCGAATTAGCATTACAGTTTCACGCACTGAGCTTTGGAAGCAGGCTGTGTTGCTCGGTTTGGGATACACCCAGACACCACCTCAAACTGCAGTCTCCCTCTCCCCACTGAGAAACCTCTGACTGGCCCTTTAACTGTAATGGGACATGAACTGGTATTAAGAAGCAGACAGACATGGCCCGTGGCTTCTGCCTGCTGGAGAAGGGGCTCGAGCCTCCGCCGTTTGAAAAGATAAGAGGAAGCCTTTGAGAGTGTCCACAGCAGAGGCTGTCCTGGGCCAAGACTGCAGGCTTAGTTGGTAGCCACTACGCAGCCAGGAAGCTCCAGTCCCACGCCGTCACAGGTGCTGCCAGCAGCAGAAGAGGGAAGCAGACTTTCTCAGGCAGATGGCGAGCAGGTGGTGGTGGCAGTGGGAGGGCTCCCATGACCACCCCTGCCTGGCATGGCCCAGAAACACACACAGTAGAAACCGCCCCGGTGCCAGCTACCACGTCCTGAGAAGGACTACTTGCCAGTACTTGGGTGCAGCCCAGGTTCTTCAGTCCCAAAGCAAAAGTAGGTGTCAAAGGGTCAAGAAGAGTTGGGCTGCTCCCTGGGACACTGAGTCTGATGTCCACCCTCCTTGGTGCCTTTGTCCTTGCTATTCTTTCTGCCTGACATGATCCTCCCCACCTGCCACACGGCTGGCTTCTTGCCAGCTCCAACATTCCCTTCAGAGGAGCCTCGTCCAAAGAAATCTACCTCACTCCAAACTATCTCAGCTTGGCCTCACCTTGGATTCACTCGCAGAATTTTGGCATAAATACCTGAACCCCACTCCGGACCAATGAAGGACGAATCTCTGGGGAGTTATCACCTTCTAGGAGCCAAGATCTAGTGGCTCAGTCCACCTTCGGTATCAGTACACCCTACTCAAGGTGTAGATTATGGTTAAACCTCAACGAGACAAACAGTAATACCATCTACTAACGTTTACAGGATGCCTACTGTATGCTCAGTGGGTTACACAACTGCAATACTTCCTGACGTGAAAGCTCTAGCTCCATTCGCATAACAGCCCTCTAACTCAGAGGTTTTTGCAAGGTCAGGGTCAGCCAGCCAGGAAGAGATGATGCTGGAATGTGAATCCAGGTTCACCCACATCCACACCTGGTACTCTTTCCCTGCAATGTAGCATAGAAGAGGGCATGAACTCGGGGAAGTGGGGAAGCTGCAGCCTGAACTCTGGAGCTCTCCGCGTTCTCCCGCTTCTCACTGAGATGAGGGCTCCCCCTGGCTGGCTCCTCGTCACACACCCTTGTCCCAGAAGCTTCTTGCCTCCATCTCAGCTTCATCCCAGAAGGTGCTGGGTCATGGCAGCCATCAAAGTCCTTCTCACCAGGTGTATCTCTCCTTTCTGCTCCTCAGGGCAAGGACTGCACTGTGCCCATCAACACCTGCATCCAGAACCCCTGTCAGCATGGAGGCACCTGCCACCTGAGCGAGAGCCACAAGGATGGGTTCAGGTAACAGCTCCCCCTGGCTTGTCTCATGGGCAGACTCCTCGTATGGACGATGTCAAGGCTTTTGGTACCCTGTAGAGAAAAGTGCTGTTATTCCTACCATACAGATAAGCAAGGCATCATGGGATCAACCCTTTGCCTGGAGTTACATAGTAAATATTGGCACAGGGATTCAAACCCAATACCAGAAGTCTCCTCTCTGATCCGGGAAGTCTCTAAGGGAGGCTACAACTGCTAGCTGAAGTCCGAAAAGTATGGGATGCTGGCTGAAAAACCTGCCGGCCTGGCAGCCCTACCACTCTTTTCTGGGCTATTAACAATAATAATAATAATAATAATAATAATAATGTGATATCAGTGACAGTGCACCCCATTACCAGGCACTGACTAGTCATGCATCATCTTAGTCTTCTCATGAGCCTATCTGCGAGGTAGGTACCGTCCCCATTGAATGTATGGGAAACTGAGTCACGGAGACTGATTTGCTCTAGGTTCCATATCCTAAAACTGGTTTGTGGGTCTTCCATCTTTACCTCCAGCCCTCTCCTAACTAGTGTTAGGGTTTCAGAAAGAAAAAGGGATAGAAACCATTGAAGTTATACTGTCCTAGGATGGCATTAGGCCTCTTGCCAAACCTCAGGCCCCCTTCCTGCTTTCTCCCTTCCCCAGCAGCTTTCAGATGCCCAGGTTCCCCAGCCTTTTAGCCTGGCAGATGCAGATCATCGGGAAGTGGCTCCTTTGCCATAGCAGGTTGGGCAGCAGCCCCTCTGCAGTGAAGGGGAAGCCCCTGTGCCAAGCTCTGGGCGGATGTCCTAGAGCTCAGGTTGCAAACAATTATCAGAAGCACCGTGGCCAGAGGCTGCTGTGTGGTCTGTGGAAGAAATTAAGTTCTGGGCTCCCAGTTCTCCCTCCTGGGGGAACCCAATCCGCCCACATATCCTCCTGCCAAGCCAGCCCCATCAAACCCAGACTCTTGAAAAGTGAAACTCAAGGCAGACTTCCTGTTCCTGCCTGGAGTCAGCCAAACCACCCACTTCCTCCCCACTCGCTCGCTGAAAGCAAGAGTGAGGAGAAACGACACTGGCATCTCACCTCCAGGGCTGAAAGCCTGGCTGTGCCCCACCACGGGAAGGAGCTTCCTCTGCAGACTATTGTGTGTTACCCAGTATGTGGTCTCCATCCTAGGACTTTGAGGGGTTTCAAGTGAACAGGAAATATGTCCAGACTTTTAATTTAGAGGGCAAAAGGCCCAGATCTGCAGGATTCCGGAAATGGGTTAGAAAGTTAGGTCAACAAGGCAAAGGCTGGAGACATTAGACCTTGTGTGTGCTTCCCTAGGAGAAGGAAGGGTCTTCTGCAGGGATTCAGCTCCAGGCAGGCTGGCAATGGCAGGGGTGCTTGTCAGAAACAGCTTTGTGTCCTCTTCCCTCCCAGAGTCATTCCCTATGCCTGTCATAAGAAAGGACAACAGGCCAGCTGCATTACAACAACAGCAATGTATTGTCTCATGATTCTGGAGAAATCCATCCAAACTCAGGTGTCTGGAGGGCCAGACTTTTTCTACAGCCAGTGGGAGAGGGTCGTTCTTGCTTCTTCCTGGTTTCCAGCATTTGCTGGCAGTCATGTGCATTCTGTGGCTTGCAGCTGTTGTATTCCGGCCTCTTTCTTCATGGTCTCAGGGCATTTTTCATGTCTCAATCTAAACACGTCTGTCTAGAAGGGTACCATATTGGGTAAGGGATCCACCCTTTTCCAGGATGTCCTCAACTTAACTCATTATATCTATACAAAGTCACATTGCAGGTTAGGGTTATGACCGCAACTGACCTTCTTAGAGGACATGGTTCAACCCATGACTCCTCTGAAGAGTCAGAATTCTGGAAGCATCACCTTCCCTCTTTATAGATTCTTCTCCAATCTCATTTATTTCCTGTTCAAAAAAAATCAACAAAAGTCAGAGGACAGACCACACAGGACATCAAGAAGGGAGATCTGATCTGCTCTCAAAGTCCCTACAGCTAACTTCTGCTCTTGGCGTCCCCTTGACAACCCCTCTGAAGTTTCCAGTGAGGACAGGGAAGATTGTCCTCTTCCCTCACTCTGTCCACTGGATAGCAACCCCTGTCTGTACCCTTGAGCAGCCACGATATCCATTGTCTGTTGCCAGGCAATGCTAAGGCTCCAAGGACAGCCCAAGGAACTGGCCTTTGGAAAAACCAACAATCAATACTCTTCTTTAAGATCTTTGAACTCCTACTCTCTCCCTGAAGAAGTAGCCTTTTTTAGTAACATCCCTGGTCCCTAACAGAAAACAGGAGTCATTTTGTTCTGGTACCTCAACAACTCAGACCTGAGAAGTTAATGGCCTTTTGTAGAAAATGTGATACAGTTTTGGGGTTGTGAGAAGTGGAGGTGACATAAGATTCTGAGACCATGGAAATTCACTTCATACTAGCTTAACTTATTTAGTTACATCACAAATCAGCACAGACTCTGAAACAGACACCTAGACTTCCAAATCTGAAGCTGGATCTATGCATGAGCGTAGATCCTACCCAGCAACTTGGACCACACAAGGAACAAGATTCACTTCTGTGTTTGGACACTAGCTTCCCACCCACCCCAAGCACCTCCTAGCCCCTCACCCCTTACTTTCCATTTCTAATCCTGGGGGCACAACCACAGTGGGAGGCGAGGCGGCATACCAGAGACAAGTGAAGGAAATGCATTCTGCTTATATACAGAGCTTAAGCCAAGATCATCAGGAGCCCTTAGAATTGGCAGAGGGATCCAGAATTCCAGAGGGATCCTCCCACTCCATCTTTTCATCTCCAAGAGATATAGAGACCTCAGAAGATTCTCTATATGTAATAAGAAGAGATAGCATCCATACAAAAGGTTAAGGAGGTGGGGTGTTTTGGAATTTCTATTTTAGAACTAAAGTTGGCTAACCATGTTCTTAGCATTTTCTGTGTGCTATCCATCCTTCTGAGTGCTTTGCTTGTATAATTTAATTTACTCACTCCAAACATACAAGGTCAGACAACTAGGAAGCAGCAAGCCAGAATTTATTTGCAGGCAACCTGATAGCAGAGCCGTGACCTTGCGCATGATGCCCTGCTGCCCTCTCCACATAGAAAGATGGCCTTAGAGCGACATCATCACTCAAGGGAGGGGTGTTCATTCTTCTGTCTTTGTCTACAAAGGAGACTACTCTGACACAGAGGAACCACAAGGAGGAAGGTTTAGAAGACAATTATGGGAATATAAGCCATATCCAGGAAAGCACTTCCACCTGGGGAATGGTGGAGAGATATTGCTGCTCAGAATTGCCTCCAGGGGCAAGCCAGCAAGGGCCAGGGGAGACAGGACATTGCCTGGAGACAGGGGACTAGCTGAAATGACCTGGAAGTTCTCTGAGTCTTCTGATTCAGGCCTTGTGTGTCCAAAATGTTATCTTGAGCCTCCACGCAAAGGAGAGACCCAACTAATCATTATTTGCTACCCTCTACCTTTCTCTCTACCCACCCCTTCCCTGGCCTCTTCTCTCACATCTAAAGCTGCTCCTGCCCCCTGGGCTTTGAGGGGCAGCGGTGCGAAATCAACCCAGATGACTGCGAGGACAATGACTGTGAAAACAATGCCACCTGTGTGGACGGCATCAACAACTATGTGTGCGTGTGCCCACCTAACTACACAGGTAAGGGTCTAGGGATGCATGGGCCTGTGTTTGTGGGATGGGGTGGAAAAAGTCACTAGAAGAATCCCATTTTTTTCATAGTATTGTTCAAGGAAGAGGAACCCCACCCCCATTCTCTCTGTGGACACAGCTAAGATCCCAAGACCATGATAGGCCATAAGGGACTCCTCTAAACCCCCATGTTGACTCATCTAGCTCCTGTACCCCCACTCCCATCCCCAGCAGGTTCCTAGCTCCTTCCTGCTTTGAAACAGGTTTCCAGAGCCCTTCTAGCTGTCTGCTCATTCAATGTTGTCTTTGAGGCTGGCAGGGAGGCACACGCATGGTGTGAGGCCTAGGCAACCCCCTCTGGAAATCTACATCTTCCAGACATTCTTCTGGGAGCTCGAGACATAAAACCAAACGAGACAGAGTTCCTTCTCATAAAAATCTCATGGTCAAGTTGAGAGAAACACATGGATGTGGTAGAATGAGAACGTACATTGTGCACACCCACGGAGTCTCGGGACCACAGAGCAGGACATGCCCCAGCTAGAGAACATGGGAAGTCTCCTTACAGAAGGTATTGTTTCTCAGGAATATCATTCTACCCACCCACCCCAACACAAAGCACCCTTATTTCCTACTGTAGCCTCCCCTAATGAAAAGAATGAAATGCATGACTAGACTGGGATGCAGAATTCCACTGGTTGGTGCAAATGCAGCTTACTTTGTGATGAGATCGACCTAACGTGGCATGTCCCAGACCAGAATTCCAGAAAGTCTATGAATTCTTTGAGGAGGAAGCTCCACGGTTTTTTTTTTTAAAGAGCTTTGGAATTACTGCATATAATAATAGCTTGTGATATAAATTAGTATGTTAGAGGTTCTGAAAATTCCTGCTTTAAAGAAACTGGTTGTTTCTAAACTGTTTAAGTTTCTTTCACCCAGAAGCTCCCAAACTTAGGTGATCTCAGAACTTCCCGCTAACCCCACGATTCAACACCGTTAGCAACCTAGAGGTACTGTCTTATAAAAACCATATTTTGGAAATATTGGCCTAAGGTAAAGAGGAAATGAGGATGGTACAACTCAGGGACTTCCAAATCCTTGCCCACTGGAACCTGGCTTTATGTCAAGAATGAAATGGGAAATGGGGGGCTGGGGATTTAGCTCAGTGGTTCTGCCACCTGCCTTGCAAGAACAAGGACCCGAGTTTGATCCCCGGTACCCCCCCAAAAAAAAGAAATGGGAAATGTGAAGATACAGGTGATGAATATGAATAGAAGCAACCCTCAGGACCACTGAGAAGGAAGCCAAGTTGCCCCTCAGATCCTTTCCTCCGAAGCCTCAGCCTCCAGCCCAGTAGCCAGGTACTCCTAAGCACACCCCTGAACTGAAGGCATGTTCCAGAGCCTGCTGGGAAACCCACCCACTCTATTAGTCCTAAGCTTCCCTGCTCTGCACAAGGCTTTGTGCTGGGACAATGTGTGGGCAGATCTCCCTTCGATCCAAACTCTTCCATCTTCTGAGAGCAGAGTTGTAACTATAAGTTGCGTTAGTGACAGGCAGCACTTCCTGTGTGCCTACTATATGTGTAGCTATTAGAGACAACAAGAAATTGAAAGCACATTCTCAGCCTACAAGGTGCTTCTGGTCTACCTAAGAGGAAATACTGGATAGGGTTAAGTCATTATTCTATAAACAGAGGGGCTCAAGATGGGTTCTTTGTGTGTGCCAGAGGACAGGTCCGAACTGAATTGACAGCAGGCAGCTGCCATTCATCCACTGCCCAGCCAACTCCCGGGATGTCCTTCTGCCCTGCCCCCTGGGAGCAGCATCCAAGGCAGCCTCCTCTCAGCCCTGTTCTCCCCCAGCCCTGGAGAGAACTTCCATGGTTAGAAGTGTCTCTCTCAGATCACCCTCTACCTTGTTCACCTGGGTGGAATTTGAGGTAACCCAAAAGTCAGACCTTAAAATGCTGCATTGCCTAGAAGATGCTCTTCTGTCTTCCATACCCCACCCTCTGCATTTCTAAAATATATCTTCAGTGGCGTGAGCTTGTGGAGCTTATAAGCAGGGACTGTTCTGCGTGTTTATGACCCACAGGCATTTTGCAGTGCTGGAAACTTTGAAGGAGAGCAGATCCTCAAATTCCTTTCCTATTTCCTCCCCCTGAAAAACCCATGTCCAGAAAGCAGAACTTCAAATTCCTTTCATATTTCCTTCTGTGAAAAACCCAAAGTGCTTCCTTATCTGTTGCAGATGAGCTCGGCTGCTTGGCTCTGTCTGCTTTGCGGTCCAGTCTCACCACCAAGGCAAGGTTATGAGTGTCCTTCGTGTTTCCACAGTTCACCCCCATGGTGGCTGTCACAACTCTGGGCTGTAATTGCCTACCTTTAGATCTCCTCCATTGAGCCATGGACAAGGACAAGATTGGGTCGCCTTCAGTAAACAGATGGGAAATAACAAATGAATAAGCATAGCGGAAGGTCGGGGTCTGGGCTGTGGTATCGGCCCCTGCGTGATCCAATAAAACAGCCACATCATGACCCCATGACACTGCCCAGGAGAGATGCTGGGATCCCCCATTGCTACAGCTAGGGAAACCAAGGCAGAGGTACAGAAGGAAGGATATGCCAAGAGAAGTATGCAGCACTCCTGGTATCCAAGACCTCGTAACCAGGGGTGAGATAAGTCTGACCTCCTTGCCTGGGGACCCCTTATGCCTAAGTTCTTTTCCTACCCCTGCCAGGTGAGCTGTGTGATGAGGTGATTGACCACTGTGTGCCCGAGATGAACCTCTGTCAACATGAAGCCAAGTGCATCTCCCTGGACAGAGGATTCAGGTGAGGCACGGCCCAGCACTGGCCCTGTGAGCACTGTCTCCAACAGTCTCAACCCTAGGGGAGGGATGTTTCAGCAAACATTTAGAAAAAAAGACACATCTTGGCCCTGTACTTCTGGCACAGGGTACTCTTGGGGTTCTGAGAAAGACCTGCTAGGACGGAAGAAAGCCCTGCCCCACTGGAGATGGGACGTGAGCCAGATAAAATCTGGATGGGCTGAGATGAAGATAGAAGAGTCTGTACTAAGGAAGATGAGGAAGGGGCATAAGAATGTCTTTCCTGGCATTGTCCTTTTCTGTTTTGACATCCCAAGCCTAGAGCTCAACACTAGTGAAAATCTCAGAGCTCTGATAGGGCCTCTGGTTCTGCTGATACCAGAAGATGCACCAGTCCTTCCATGTACCCACCCCATTCAGAGGCACCCTACCTGCCCCATCGCCTTCTAAGGTCTGCCAGGTGGGACCTTCAGGCCATCCAGTCACCTGTGTGTGATGGTGAGGGGTGCCTCCCATACCCCCACTCGCCACCCCAGAATGTGGCTTCACTTGAAGTCCTGTGCTGGGAGGAGGGGCAGAGCTGAATGAAGGGCAAAAAGAAGGAAAGAAACATTTGGACCCAAAGCAGGGCAGGCTGGACTGCCAAGCTAAGCACTTTGGGTGTGCCTAGAAAAGGGCAAAGATGGGACTCTGAGCAGTCAACAGTGAGTGCCAGTGAAGAGGAGATGAATGGCATTCTAGGCCAAGTGGACAGACAGCAAGCTCAGAGGCTGCTTTCTTAAGAGGGCGTGGAGACTGGCCAGAGGTGGGCTGGACACAGGTGTGGAGTAGGAATGCTTGGGAATTACAGATGCCAGATTATCGTGATCCTTTAATACTTGATCCTAGAAATCTCACTCTCTTCTGTAAGCAAGACCTCTTAAAGTTCTAGAACAATATAGGAAAGAAAGAAGCCAGTCAAGTTTTTGTAATCTTACTTACTTTATTTCTATGTAACGTCGCCTCGAGAAGGTCTCCTACACAGTTCAATAATGTTATTCAAATGTATTTAAACCAATACCAGTGCAACATTTTATCTCTGTCCCCTCCCATCACTGAGCAGCTTCTATCCCAGGGCCTCCTACAGGAATATTAATGAGAGACACAGTCAGCGTGACCTGCACCAGTGAGTCCGCCCTTGATACCCTCAGGTCTGTTTCCGTGCAGAAGTTTCAGTTTAGTGTTATGTTACACAGAAAAACTCAGGTGTATATTCAGGGAGCCCCAGTGCCTGCCACAGTGGCTTTTTCTCCCTCTAGATTTCCAACGTGGGCCAGCAGAGGGCCGTGGAGCAGCTAACACGCTGCTCTTTCGGGAAGGCTGGACCCCTGTGCAGGGCTGGAGTGGCGCCGTAGCTCCCGTGCCCTCTCCAGGGAAATATGTATAAGCCATTTTACTAAGGGATAAGAGATTTTGTTCTTTTTCTCTTATTTCAAACCTCTGGGGGAGGGGATGAACAAGCAAAACAAAATCAAGGGAAGTGAAAACAGCATCATTTTCTCCTTCATCATCATTCCCATGATCTCCATATCCAAGCGGCTGTTTACTCAATGTTCAGTTTAATTTTTAAAGCAATCATAATAGGCAGAGTTCTTTATTGTCGGCTGCATTTAGAGATGAAGACAATGAGAGACTCAGAGACAAGTGGCCAATACACTTAAACAGCGCATAGTAAGAGTAAACTATGACTTAGTGGGGTCCACAGAGAAGTGATTTCAGACCTCTGAACTCGCATTTCTTCCTGAGGATAGGTCCTCCCTTGCAGGGCTCTGGGAGAGCTCGATGCCACATTCCATGAAAGGTGCCTAGCATGGTGCCTGACACAACTGAATCTCAGTTCTACGTAGAAAGTGGCAGGTCCAAGCCAAAAGCTGTGTGATTCCAACCTGTGCTCCCCAGTCTGGCTCCTAAAAACAGAACTTTCCCCCTACATGAAGCACAGAGACCTTGACCTCAGGGAACGAAGGCTGTGGATCACTGGTGAGGCCTAATCCTACAGCCGACCTGATGGACCTGTAAGGAACTGAGCATAAAAGAGAGGGGCTACCAGGTGAAGGAAGGCCTGAGAGCCACTGCCGGGAAGCTGGCCTGGCCCTGAGGAACAGCTCTGCCCTGCCTGTGTTCCAGGTGTGAATGTGTCCCTGGCTACAGCGGGAAGCTCTGCGAGACGGACGATGATGACTGTGTGGCTCACAAGTGCCGCCACGGGGCCCGGTGTGTGGACGCAGTCAGTGGCTACACGTGCATCTGCCCCCAGGGCTTCAGGTATGGCAGAGGGCACTTCGGGAAGGTGACAGTCCGGACCTCCGTGGCAGGGATCTGGTCACCCTACAGTACCCAGGTCAGCTCCAAGTGGAAACTGGGCTGTGGTTCCAACTCACGTCTTATGCTTGACCCCGACTCCACCTAATGAAAGATGGCACCGCCTGGGAGCCCGGCTTACAGGGTGTCACCGCTGGATGACAGAAATATGGCATCCCAGTAGCAGAAAAAGAGGTCGGGATAGAGCGAAAGCTTGGCAGGAACAAGGCCCTGAGTTCAATCTCCAGTAACACGAAAGAGAGACATGGGGTGGGGAGAGGAGGGGAGGAGTGAAAGGGCGACAAACAGAGGAGGGAAACAAGGATGGAGAGGGAGAGGGACAGGGAGAGAGGAGAGGAGAGGAGAGAGAATACGGTGAGGACGAGGGTCCGGCTGATTCTGGAACCAGGGAAGCCTGAAGAAGGGGGAAATGAGAGGCACTGGATGATCGTGATCCTCCGATATCTGATCCTAGGAACCTCACTCTCTCTCTGCAGGGTGTGTGAAAGAAGCCCAGGCTCCTGGTCTAGCTCTCACACTGCCTGGGAGGGAAGGGGAAGGACTGGAGGAGGCAGCGGCCATCCTTGAGGGAGCGTAGCCTGGGGTGCAGTTCCATGTACATCAGTATCACCAGACGGCATAAATGCAAAATATGCAAATTAGGAGCCTGTGAGCCTGGACAGGACCATGGAGTTCTCAAAACCAGTGTTTCTTTTCATTTCTCTCTCTTGTTTTGTACTGGGGTTCGAACTCTGGACCTGGTGCTTGAGAGGCAGGTGGCAGAACCACTGAGCTGAATCCCTGGCCCCACGACCAGTGTTTCTGAAGGCTTAACTCACATAATGTACATCAGAGACTGAAGAAAATCAAACTTCCTGAGCACTATCCTAGAGCCACTGAACTGAAATTTGGGGATGGCAAAAATGGGGCTGAGAATCTGGACCTTTTAACATATTATGACAAAATATACGAAACAAAATTTACCATCTTAAATGTTTTTAAAGATGGTGTCCCGTGGAGTTAATAGATGTCACCATGACCACCAGAACTTTTGCATCTTGTGAAACAGAAACTATACCCTCTCCCTGAAGCCCCTGGTAACCTCTATTTTCCTTTCTGTTTATATGAATTTGACTGTCCAGGAGCCTCATTTAAGCAGAATCCCAGTGTTGTCCTTCGAGGCTTATTTCACTGGGCACGATGTTCTCATGGTCCTCCCGTGTTGCAGCAGGTGCCCGAACCTCCTTCACTGGCAGGGGGACCGTGTGTGTTGGCTGGCTACACCACGTATTGTTTATCCATTGATCCGCGCAGGGGTGAGAATATGTACTTTCCACACATTTGCCCCAGGTAATTCTGATGCCACTCAGAGCTAGGGACCTGAACTTCCACCTGACTCACTTATTTTTAAAAACTGAGAAACTGGGACATAGAGGAAGGAAAGACGTGCCCCAGTTCATGGCAGGGCGGGAACAAGACCCCAGCACGAGTCTCGTGTCCCGTCCCTCACTGCCTTTGTGTTGGAGGTTCTTTGGAAATGAGTGGCCGTCACCTCTTCCCCCTTCCCATCCCCACCCATGCTCCTCCACCTCCTTCCAGTGGGGCCTTCTGCGAGCACCCGCCACCCATGGTCCTGCTACAGACCAGCCCTTGTGACCAGTACGAGTGCCAGAACGGGGCGCAGTGCATCGTGGTACAGCAGGAACCCACCTGCCGCTGCCCACCCGGCTTCGCTGGCCCCAGGTGTGAGAAGCTCATCACCGTCAACTTCGTGGGCAAGGACTCCTACGTGGAACTGGCCTCTGCCAAGGTGCGGCCCCAGGCCAACATCTCCCTGCAGGTATGTCCGGTCTCGCCCTGCCCTCACAAGGGCCCTCACATGCCAAGTTCTGACTGTTCAGGAAACAGCTGGGGTGTCCCAGGTGGTAGCAGTCCTGCCCCCTCCCCAGAACGTCATCAAGGACCACACTCAGCTTTGGGGAGGCTGCACCTGGTCAGCCTAGGCACACCTGGAGATCCCTCTGGGCCAGCTTCGCTCACGCAGCAGCCCCACTTCTGGTCTCTTTCACTGATTCCTCTAGAAAACATTCCAGACACTATGCTGAGAATTGAGAATTCAGTGGTAAACAAGACAGACAAAGCATCTTGTCGATCCAACATGGCAAGGAAGGAGACAGTGACAACCGAGGTGCTGTGGGAGAACATAGGAGGGGCAGTAATCCTCACTTATGGAAGAATTAGAAAGGGCTTCTCGGAGGCAGAAATAAGCAAGCTTAGAGCTGAAGGAGGAGTCGTTTATCTGAGGGAGCATAAAAGAGTAGGGACTGAGAGGATAGGGTGAAGAAGAGGCTGAGAGAATCTACCTGAGAAATCAGCATGTGCAAAGGCCCAGAGGCACAAGCAAGTAGAACATTTTAGGGGAATGGAAAACAAAGTTTTTTTTTCTAAATAACTTTTTCAGGTCCCTTGCCTTTAGACCAGAGCTCATTCATTCCAACCTGTATTTCTGATCAACCTAAGTGTTGTTCTGGGGGTGGGGGTGAGCACAGAGGTTTATGATGGATAAAGAACAGACCCCTGACTACAGGATTATTCTGAGGAGGAGCCCCAGAGACCCCACTGCAGGGTGCCAACCCATTCATGGCCTCTGCCACTTGGGGTTGCGTGTGGCTGGACACGAACTTAGCCTCTTCCCTCCTGTTGCTGGCGGCCACATTAGCCCTGGTTGAACCTGGAGTATATGGGGGGGAAATGCTCATTCAATAAAGACCGACCTGACAGGCACTATTCTGGGCCCTGGAATTGCAGAGATGCAGGACAACTTCACACTGCCTCTCGCCTCAGAGCGTGCAGCCAGTGGGCAGGCCCCTGAGATGAGGGACGATGCTGGGCACGAGCAGAAAGGGAGGGATTTCCAGTTGCCCTCACCCCTGTAGCCCTCCTTCCTCACCCCCACCCTCGGGAGCGTGACATTAGGTCCCCACTGGCCAGGGCGGCCCCCAGTGTCCCGGACTCCCGGTGTCCTGTCACATGTACCTGGTGCATGTCCCATTCCTTAGGCTCGACAGGGGCCAGGCAGTGGAAACCCATAGACTTGTCCCTCCTGCCCTCCGGGAGCAGCTTCGGAAGCTGGTAGCTCTCAGCCTTGCCAGACCTTAGAACACCCTGGAGAGCTCTTAAAATATCTTTGGCTGAGCCTTGGCCCTGAGAGATTGATGTGCTTGCTGAAGCCCAGACACCTGTGTTTTTAAAAGTCCCTGAGTGACTCTCAGCACTGGGCATGATTCATAGTATGCACTGGTAGTTGTTGGCTATTTGTTTCTAACTATTATTATTATTATGCTTTATGCGAAGAGACTGAGGCCTCCAAAAGAGCAGGTAGTGTGGAGGGGCCATTTCATAAGGCAGAGGGAGAGGACAGATTAGAGCATGGAGCTCTTGACAAACATAAATATCCTCCATGTCCATGTGTGTGACATCCACAGATCCAACCCTCCTCACGTTGCATATATGTGGGAAAAGAAAAAAACTGGCAGCTTTACGGCACGGAGATAGACCTTTTCCTTGCCACTGTCCCCTAAATGATACAGTTTGACAACTATTTACATGGTATTTACATCCAGTTAGGTATCGTCAGTAATTTAGAGATTACTTGAAGTACAAGAGAGGATATGCACATTATGTACAATACGATGCTATGTTATGTAAGGGATTTCAGAACCATCCGAGTTTTGGGAGGTGGATCCTGGAACCGATCCCATGCAGATAGCAAAGGAGAGCTGTGTGTGAACACAGTGCGGCATGGTGGGCAGTCAGTGAGTACCCTGAAGTAAGTCATTGGCCGAAGCAGCATTTGCTGAAGTGTAAGGATAGCTCTCACCTTGTGGGACTTTGCAGACTACGTGGAGGAGAAAAGATGAATTCAAACCTGGGCCGGGGACAGAAATAGCCACCTAGATGGACGTGCTGAAAGATGGGTCCTGAGGGCCTGGGCCTCAGCTAAGCTCTAACCCATGCCCTGGCTGCTCTCTCCAGGTGGCCACTGACAAGGACAACGGCATCCTTCTTTACAAGGGAGACAACGATCCCCTGGCCCTGGAGCTGTACCAGGGCCACGTGAGGCTTGTCTACGACAGTTTGAGCTCCCCTCCAACCACAGTGTACAGGTAGGCCACACCCACCAGCCACTGCGCTCGCCTCGGGAAGACACTGGGTGACTCGAATGCGGCCTCCCTCCTGCTCCACACACACACACACACACACACACACACACACACACACGCACACGCACGCACGCACACGCTCAGTCACAGAACAGCAGGTAGGAGGGAAGAGGGAAGAGGTAGGAGGGAGAAAGGCAGGAGAGGAAGGCAGGCCCATGCAGGGGGATGACACCTCATTACCATAAGATAAATGACCAACTGGCTACTGTGCATGGAGCCGGATGCTCCAATGGGGATGAGGCTGCTTAATGAGATGCCCTTTTCCAAATGTCACCCTCATCTTTTATTAGTTTAAGAAAGAAAACAGGACAATTAGCCTGGAACTCAAGGGGAAGAAATTCAAGAGCATTCAGGGAATAGACTACTGCTTAAGTGACTTTCAAACAATTCTGAAGGACAGTTTTTCTTCAAGTTCAGTCTTTTCAGCAGTCACCTTGTGCACTAGCTCCTTGGGACTGTTAAGAAAACTCCTTATAAAGACAAAAGGTTCGTTCCGGCTCACAGTTTGAGCTGGCCACCTCGTGGAAGCGAAGAGAGGAAGCAGAAGGAACCACATGTCCAATGTCCCCTTCAGTGCCACGCCCAGTGACCGGAAGACCTCCCACAGGCCCCACACCCTAAAGCTTCCCCCACCTCCCAGGCATGAAATAGGTTGGATATCAAGTCTTCAGTAGGTGGGTCTTTACGGATCTGTGTGATAGTTACGCAGTTACTTCATAAGCTACCCTACTTCAACTTTCATACTGCTCCCTTTTAAAATTCAGCTTCCTATTCATAGCTAAGAAATTACAGTTAGGAAGTTCCATATGTTAAATATTTTCCTACTTCTCAGTAAGCTATATATACACTGAGCACCCCTCATCGGAAACTTTCTGAGGACCAACATGACACTCAAAATTTTTCAGATTTTAGAGCATTTAGAATAGGGATACTCAACTGGTAAAGTCTATGCAAATATTCCAAAATGTAAAACTACAAAATCTGACATACCTGTTGTCCTAAATCTGTCAGGTAAGTAATACCCTGTACTAAACAACTATTAAAACTAAAAATTTATTTTATTTATAAATATATTCATAATTTTTTAAGATAACTACTAGAATTTTTTAAGTGTCTGTTACCCCTAAAATCATATAAAACCCCCAGAAGGAAATCCAAGCTCAGAAAAGCCAAAGTACCAAAGAGAGGCCATATTCTCCCTTGGGAAGCAAGAGCATATTTCACTGGGATTAGTGAAGAGCAGCAACTTTGGACTTTTCTTACCTTTATAATTGAGTCTTTCTTCAACTGAAACTTTATGTTGAACTCGAGAATGTTACCTACATAACAGCAGACAACCCTGCAAGATTACAGGGGGGAAAGTGCGCTCCTTTACACATGCTGTCTTCAGGGTCCCTAATTGTCCTCCAACAAACCCACTTTGCAAACCATAGTTTAAAACCAGTGGTTTGGAAAGGGGGATGTGGCTCAGTGGTAGAGCTCTTGCCTAGCATGCATGAGGCCCTGGATTCGATCCCCAGCACCAGAATAAAAGCAGCGCTCTCCGAGGGTGGTCCCTGAAGCAGCAGAGCTGGTGTCACTTGGGAACTCGGTAGAAACACACATTTTCAGACCCTACCCTGAGAGTACTGAATCCGAAGCTCAGGGTTGGCCCCACCAGATCTGTTTTAAGGAATCTTCTGATGTATAAGTTTGAAAGGCACCAGTTTCCATGTGAAAACAACTGGAGAGGGGCATTTGAGTTGGATCTTGAAGAAAGGGAAGAGAATAGATGAGCCACCCCGGCTGGGAGAGCAACAAAAATAAGATAAAGAAAAATGACAAGGGTACTGGCCAGAACAGAAGGCTCATTGTGTAACGTGAGGAGTGACAAAGACAGCCTAGTTACAGACACCTGAGTATAGCCAACGCCAGGAGAAAGAGCTTACCCAGTGGCCTCTGTGCATCCTGGAGACTGGGCCTCTTAACATCTGTGTTCCTGGAATCCATGGGCCAAGTAGAAAGGACAGAGAGCCAAAGAGGTAAGGTGCAGCCTGCAAAGAGCACCTGGTGTCACACTGAGCTGCATTTAAACAAATATCTCCCCTCTCTCCCCCTCCCCCTCCCTCCCTCTCCCT